TAACCAAGCTTGAAAGTAAAAGCTTTCAAGCTTTTACACTACCACCCTCAAGATATATGTCCATATATATATAGATAGATAGATATAGATATATATCTATATATGTATATATGTGTAAATATGCATATATATATGTATTGTTTATTTTTATGAGCATTCTATAGTCTGTTATCTCATGTCCGTTTTTCATTACATTTTATAATTCCATTCTATAGTCCTACATGGTGTTTAAACTAGAGAGAAGGGAAAGGAAGATTGCTAGACTTGAGCTAGCATAAAAGCTCAGGGACAGATTCTGTACCCTGAGTTCAAGCCTGGGACTGACAGGGGAAATAAAAAGAAAAGAAAAGAAAAGAAAAGCAGGAGCCACCATAGAAAATAGACTTGGGAGGAAGTGAGCTCAGAGCCTAGGATGCTTTGTTGATTCAGTGTCATGTGATCATCAACAGTCAGCTGATTACTGGTTTCAGGCTGGTGATGGGGGTGGGGGGCATTCTGTGGGCTGACCTAACCATGATCACATCTCAAGCAATGGTTAAGCAAGTATGCATTTCATCTCAGCTGGATAAAAATTGTGAATAGGAAGAATTCAGTTCAGGAGAGGCTAAGCATAAACACAAGTTCGTATTCCAAAAATAAAAGCAGAAGTGGATGAAGACATGGCTGAAGTGGTACAGCACCAGTTGAGCACCAGGCCTGACAAATTCCAAACGAAATAAGCGTTGGATGATCACCTATTAACAAACACAAACTCAGCTACTTTTGAAGATCCACAAGATACAGTGGATGTTGCCACCTAAAGTTGCCTACAGTTAGGTGGAAAAGTAATAAACAATAGTCCCAATATAGAAGATAAACAGAATACAAATATGAAGCAAAAACCCAACAAACACAATAAACCTTTTCCAAGCCTGGACAAACCTAAGTTGCACCTAACCCACATCAAAAACCCTTGTCTTTGTAGAAGGAAATTGTCAGAAGCAGTTTTCCTTGAAAGAGGAGGTGAAAGGTGTGGCTGCCAGGATGTAAATTCCAACTCCTATTGATATGTAAATCAGCTTCCCTAAAAGATCACCCAGGGATACTTCCTTTCCTAAGCCCATCTCCTTCAAGTATTAATAGAGTGGAAGTCTGAGACTTAGGCTTTGCTGGAGAAGATCAGCAGAACAGAGTGTATGTGTAGCTTGTATACCTCATGTGTGGATCAGAGTGGGATGATCTACTCTACTCCTCTGTGCTTAGTTTGTCGTTGTTAGTGGTGTTGTTGTTTCGTTTTACTCTCAGGCCTGTTTTCTCCAAGGTTACTCATTTTCTTATGTGAAGAATCCCTCTATGTGTTGGGAACTCTATTCCAGATTACCTTTTTATTGAAGCAAACCAATAATACTCTATTTATTTGAATTTGTTTGTGAGGTATTCTAATTTATTTAGGAAATAAGCAGGCAACATAAAATATAAAAGTAAAAACAAAAACAATGAATATAAGGTAAAGTAGCAATAATTCAAAAATTGTGCAAATAAATTTTAAATATTGTTATTAAAATCCCATGAAAAATATGCCCTCACTAACTGCTTTCAACCTGAAAAAACTTTGGTGCTTAGACTATCAACAAATAAACAAGAAACAGTGGGTACTGTTGTTTTACCCGTAATCTTTGCTACATAGTGGTCTAAGGTCTGAGGATGGCAGTTCTTCGCCACTGGATACAAGAAATTCCAAGGAACTCTTATCTGGTATTCATCTCCAAAATCCAGCTGTGGGTCAAGTTGTTGAGAACTTTCATATTTTTTATTGGAAAATTACTATACAGAGGGGTTACAATTACATTGGCAAGGTAATGAGTACCTTTCTTATCAAGCATTGTTGCCTCCTCTTTTGTTTCCCCTTCCCATCCCTTCCCATCTCCCCCCCCCCCACCGTTGGCCAAAGATGTAAAGTTTGTTTTGTACATCTCATTGTTGCAGAGGGTTTACTTGTATCCCTATTTAAACTATTTGTTTTTTTTCCCCTTCCCCTGCACAAATTATACCAACATCAACTACTGTGAAAACAGCGGTTGTACCGTGGGGGAGGGACAAACAAAGCAACAAAGAAATCATCTTTTAAATATATTAGAAGTAATAGCAAGAAAGAAAATCCATTTGAGTCCTTATCTTGGGGATTGTTTTGCCTAACATCAACTTATCCCACTGTTTCTGCTTGTCTGAGACATATACACATTATTGCAAGAAGGAAAGCCATGGGCCCTATGTTTCTTGGGTCTGGCGTATCTCACTTACTAAAAACAACTAGGTTTATTACAATGTTAGTTTCATCTAAATGTATTTCCAATAGGAAATTGGGCACAGCATTTAATAAAAGTATAATGTTGCAATTACCTAGTCAGCATTACCTTCCTTCAGAACTCTAAATGATTTTAATTATTCAATAATTTTGATCATCAATCAGCTTAAAACAATTTATTAAATGTTACAATTGACTGTTTTGTTATAGACCTTGGATATCAATGATAATATAAAA